ATACAACGAATTAATATCCAATAAAACTCAACCGGAAAAATCGAATAACTTAAATACTCTAAAAAAGGATATTAAAAGATCTCTTTTTAAACCCACACAACTTAATGAATTTTTATTTACTCAAAAACATTTAAAACTATGTATTAAACTTTGTTGCGAAACCAACGTATACTTAAATAACTCGAAAAAATCTATATAACTCAAAAACAATAACAACAACTAAAAAACTTATTTATTAACACGCGTACAGCTATATATATTATACATTTAGCAAATCATTTATCTACTTATATTTATTTTTAATAAAAATCGTTTACCTATCTATATTTATACTTAAATTAGAAAAATTAAAAACTTCTTTTTTTCTGTATTCTTTGTTTTTATGTAGTTTTCATTTTTATTTTTATTCTGCCGAAACTATACCATTATTTTTTAAATATAAACTTGTTTTAAATTGAAGTATCCAAAAATATTAGTAACGGATAGCGGTTTCTTGATGACAAGATCATTGGTTTGTTGCGATGACTATCGGTCTTCTGCAAGTTTCCTGCGTTCTTTAAAGTAATTTCTCATACTTTTACAGTTTTATTTTATATATTTTTTGTATAACGTAACTTTGTGATTTTTTATAATTTTACTGTACTCTGTAAACGATTCTATTATATATTACGAATTTGTAAAGATTAAAGAACAAAATAAATAAATAAAAAAAAAAAAAGACTTTAAACCCTGTATATATTAAACTCTGATATACTAAATATATTAAATCTGATATATAAAATATATTAAACCTTGAGTACAATTGTTAATTACATTTTTACTTTTTTTTTTTTGTTAATAACACAGAGTTACTTTATCTAGTAGATTTATTGCCGCAGTCAAAGTTTTTGTTGTTGTTAATTACACCTTTTTTTTCCATAAGCTTCATTGATATCTGCTATCACAGCCGTTGTTAAGCTCCACCACTAACACAGAAAAAAAGGGGGGTAACAATTATAGGGAACTCTTTTGAAAATTTAGGGACTCTTTTGCAAATTAAGGAACTTTTTTTTATTCTAGTAATACCAAGTGAAAATTATTTTTAAGAATTTTAGGCCCTAACGACTGGTTTTAGGAGAAGAAGGAGGGAGGGGGGAGGCCTCCAACCCAAATAGCCATGAAACAGTTTGCTGCAGTTGATAAGTTGAAAAACTATTTCTTTATTCGCTATTTCAAGTTCTGTTAATTAAAGCTATACTATAGATTTAATGCTAATTTAATTTTTTATTTTATTTACACTTTTTTTTCTTTTGGTTTTATCAACATCTGCCACAGTTGGTATATTTAAAAACTATTTCATTTTTGAGAATATATAAATTTATGAATCACGTAATATTTGAGGTTATTCATAAAAAAATAAACATAATAATGCTTAAAAAGAATCTTGAAGAAAAAGATATTACTTTTATTGTCTTTTTAATATTTACTAGTTGTGTAATAGCTTGTTTTATGTTTATTCTTTAAATCATTATTTAAACTTTTCTAATGTTTACTTGTTCAATTGTTTTTCATTTTGTAACTTGTGTGACTTTTAATTGCAGTCTATTTTAAAGTGTTTTGTTTTGATATACAAATTTTTTGGTTATTTTTACTCCAACCTACACAGCCTGCCACTAGTAAGTTTATATTATCTAGTAATATTATATCTTTGGGTTATATTTATAAAAGTAGAAACTCAAAGGTGTATGCTTTGGTTTGATTTCTATTTTTTTAATCTCAAGTCATTTCTTTAACTGCTATGGCTTGTAATCCTAAAAGCTATTACTTTTAAACTGTGTACAGATTAAATGCTAATTTTTTTTTTTGGATAACATCCGTTTTTGTTTTTAGTTTCATGTTATATCTGCGACAGTTGGTAAGTTTAAAAATCTTTTTATTTCCCAGCTGCGTATAAATTTCGTCCCATTTTTAACTACAAATTTTTGCTTACATTTTTAATTTTTGTTTTAATCTACATCCGCAAGAGTTCTTAAGTTTAAAAACTACTACTTTGTAATTTACATATAGACCTTAAAATCCAATTTTTGTTGTTGATTACATCCTTTTTTACTTAAAGTTAAATCTACATGTCTAACAGAGCATCAGTAAACCAACCATTAATAAAATGAATCTGAGTTAAATAATGATAACTGGGGGAAGATTTTTAAAAAACAACACAGCTATTTTCACCACCTAGACACATGCCATTTCATGTTGTGAAGCCTTTAAATCTTTGAAATTAGAACATGTATATTATTTGGAAATGATTATATGGCAGTCAAAGTTGTTTTAAAATAAACAAGATTTAAAGATATCAAATATAATCCAGAAGCGTTTATTATATTTTATAAATATAAAGAAATTACCAAGCGGTATTATTCCACGGTATTGTGGAAGCCGTTTTACATTTTCATATATCCCATTCGTACACGGGCACATACTTTTTTTTTTTTGATAAAACAAATTTACTAGACCTCCTTATGGGGTATGTATAATTATATCTAAATATTATTTTATTAAAATATAAAATAGGACTGGTGCACGCAAATCTACTCATCGTGTTTCAATTATTGTTTTGCTTAATTTTTGTAGTGAAAAATGAACAAAATGAATTGTGTACATTTGAGACATGATGTACGAAGTGGATATGTTTTATGTTTTATGCAGCATCACAATCATTTACTACATTATCAGACCACTGGAACTGTAATATTCTCTAGTCTATAAGCATTTCTGTGATTATCATTTTATTATGCAACTGCTTTAAAACTATTGGGCGTGCTAGGACTATTTGAAAAAAATGAAAGTGGACAAATTTTATATACCAGCATTTTATTTAAATCTATACTTCCGCTTTTAGTTAACTTTGTTCACCATTTATATCTTACTCAACATATGCTTAAAACCATCGTAAACAAATTCTCAGAAAAAAAACTAATTTTTACTAACATCATTCTTAATACTTGTAGTGAATGACAACTTCTGTAATTAATAAACGATCGTAAATTAAAAGAAGTTAAACCATTGTAAACAAATTCTCAGAAAAAAGATTACTTTTTTTAAGAAAAAATCATTCTTATTAGGGTAGAGCAGGGCATTTTAAAAACAGTGTGGCATAACGGGACGGTTATGCCTGAAGCCCTTCCAGCGGGCATTTGTTTTTAAAAGTTACTTTCTAATTGTATTTTAAATGTTTTCTAAATATTCATACATATAGAACGTTAAAAAGACGTTTAAAACAGGTTTAAAAGACATTTAGGACTTAAATTTTAATGAAATGCCAGAAATTACGTGTAATCATTCTAATTAACCGATTCGTGCTTACACAACAGCAGTGTTGAATTTGGCGCATGCGCATAAGAGATACTGCGTTTTATGCGTTTGTTGAACCACAAATTTTTAGTAAAGTATAAATTTCTTTTTACTTCAATAAAAAGAATTTTTTTTTATGAAAAAAAAAAGATTTTCTCCACCAGTCAATATTGCAACACAACCAACTCGTCAGTATGCCATCATAGGAAGAAGTCATCATTTTCATTTAATCAAGTTGTGTCTGCCTTGTTCAAAAGATAAAATAAAAGTAAGTATTCTACTAAATGCACAAAACTTGGAAAAGAAATGCATGAAAATTTTATTTCTGCACAGTTAATATTAAAATCACAATCTTCAATATTTAAAGGGATTAAAAATACAGCAGCACATCCCAATTTTTGTTGATTATAAAAGCAATATTTGTGCATAAGGGATGTTTTTTTACTAAAAATAATATAAACTCAGTATAGAAATGTTGGTCTAATCAATTTTTTGCCATATTCAATATTTATGAAAAGATGACTGGTATCCCATCATAGGCGCTAGGTCATCATAGGCGCCTTTCCCCTATTGTTAATTTGCTTTTTTCATAAAAAGTTTATATTTGTTAGAGAGCATTTTTTATCTTCTTTTAGAATCTCGTTTTGAAAAAGGAATCAAATTGAACTTTTTGAATAGTTTTCATTTCAGTAAATTGATTTTTGTGAAGCATATCGGGACGAAATGTTTTTTATATAGTTAAATATAATATTACTATCGTTTTTTTACAATTTAATGATTTTTAATCATTAAATTGTAATTTAATGATTAAAATCTTTATTGGTATTTCATGCTAAAAAGCCATCTTAATTCAATTGTAACTTGTGTGACTTGTAATTGCAGTCCATTTTAAAGTGTTTTGTTTTGATATACAAATTTTTGGTTATTTTTACTCCAATCTACACAGCCTGCCACTAGTAAGTTTATAGTTAAAAGCAATATAAGCATCAAATTTTTTGAGTTTTAATAACTCAAAAAACAGCTGATACATATGACGTTTTTAAATTTGTTCTTTATTGGTATTTCATGCTAAAAAGCCAGCTTATCAAAAATGTTACCAAATAATATATTTATTATTTGATAACATTTTAATATAGTTTTTGTATGATTTATGTTATCCATAATATTTTTTGTTTTAGTTTTTACTCCTTTTTTTGTGTATATAAGTAATATAGGCGTGTAATTTAAATTGGTTTGTTACTTTTTTGAGATTTTATTGCCTCAACATGTTTAAATGATAAAATGGATTCATTTTTTTTTTATTATTTTCAAAAGCTTTATTATTAACAAATAACTGCTGCTTTTTAACTGTACCGCTTTGCCCCACCCACTTGCAAAAATGTAGAATTTTTGCTAGCCTAGAGTTTTGTTACTTCGGTTATCATAGCATTTTTACAAACATTTTACCAATCTTAGCTTAATAGGTAAAACGGGTTGAAATGCACCATTAAATAAAACTTTAATTAATTTGCCGCAAATATAATTTATTATATTGTAACGATAAAAAAACCTTTTACCTAGTAAGTCAAGTTTTTTTTTCAATAAATCATTTCACCAGACCCCGTTTTGCCTACCAAATTAGTGTTGATAAATTCATTTTTAGTATATATATAAAAAAATATAAAACTTACTAACAAAAACTTTACATGCCCTACCGGTTTATCTTAAAAACTATTTAATGTAATTTATATCTAAGACTTGCATAAAAAAGCTGAATATATGTTTAACCTGTAAATGCCGCCAATCATAATTGTTGGCGGCATGCACAGATTAAACATAAGTTTCGATTACTCAGATAAGTCTAAGTTATAAATTACATTTTGTATTTTTTATTAACTACAATTATTGTTGTCTTTACAAATAAAATATGTGACATGTAATAAAACAATAGCTTATTTATGATAAAAAGGTAGACTGAAAATTTAAGAAGTATTTAATTAAATTAAATTTTGTCTGAATATTTTGGCTAGTTTATACCAAAATAAGTTAGATTATATTAAATAAAGATTACAATAGTTAATTGATATATTTATTTTATCTCAATAAACTTGATTTAGAATTTATTTTAAAAAGATTATACTAAAAAAAAAAAAGAAATGAACTAATAATAAATTAAACCGAGAAATTGTTTAAAAAGTGTTCAAAACGTTATAAAACGCTTTCAAACGTTATATTGACTTCCAGCAAACACAACACGTTAATCGCATCTTGTGAATTTTTCAATAATTTCTTAACCTAGACCTTTAAAAATGTTATTTAAAGGAAATTTTTCAAAAAGACTAGAAAACACCGTTTTTGCTAACTTAAGTCTTACAGATGTTTTTAACCAACTTCACATTTTGATTTTATTTTTTTTTAAGATTTTTTTTTTCAAGTTTGAAAGTATAGTTTTTCCAATTTTAAAGAAATTTAAAAATTATTGCACTTAAAAAAGACAGCAGATGATTTTTTAAGTTTCTATTTTGATTTGCAATTAATGTGTGAAACAAATTTGTTCGCTTACCCAACCACAACTAATACCATAGAAAATAAAAGTTGACATTTAGAATAAGAAGTATTAGAAAGATCTTGGCATTTAGAGGAGCAGTACAGAATTATTATTCAATATATTCAAAAAATATAAATTGGTTGCATCACCATATATTTAAAATGATTATTAGCACATTATAGGAACAGCAAATGTAATTTTTAAATGTTCAAAGCTCGTTTTGAACTCTGGATCTCTGGCTTCTAATGCAAGTGCTCTAACCACTGCGCCACCACCTCTCCACGGCCGCCTGAATTAAGTTTTTTGCATCACTATATGTTCATAATGGTTATTAACACATTATAGGAAGAACAATGTATTTTTTCTTATGTAAAATAAATACTTGAGAGAAAAAACTTAGAAATTATTCTCTAAAAAATGTCACGCCAAATTGTTTAGTGAAACTCCCATGTGACGAAGGCCGATTTTTTACGCTACATAAACAATTAAAGTTGTCACGCGACTTTCAGATGTTACGTTTGGCGTGAAATTTATAATTAAACTTGTCACTCAACTTTTTAAAATTAAGTATGGCGTGACATTTAATTTTTTAATTGTCACGGGACATCTAAAACAAAATCAGGTCACATGTCATTAAGCCCGATTTTAGGCCACATTTAAAGAAATTTAATGAGGCGAAAAATTCGGTCTTGACGACAAGTGACATGATAGATAGTTTAAATGTTTTATGACAAATAAAATTTTACAAGTCACACCATACTTAAACATAATAAATAAGAAAACCTAAGGAATGAAACAAATTATATTTTATTTGTTTTAAAAAAAATCATCAAATATATTTGACAAATATAATTGCTTATATATAAGCAAATAAAGTTTTCATGATTCAAAAGCCAATATAAAATATCAATTTAAAAATAATATTTTTAAAAATTTTGTAAAAAAAAAAATTCATTTTCTCAACCATTTTATCTATCTTAATTAACATAAAAAAAAAAAAATAAGCAACTTTTTGTAAAACTTAAACCACCAATATTAACTGGGCACAGCATCCTTCATCTGGTAGTGATGTTGTGAAATTTTATGATGGCAGATGCAATAGATATACCAGGATACAACTTCTCCATGACTTGCATTAGCTGATCTAATGCTGTTTCTTTTGTTACGAAGTTGTTCATGACCTAAAGAAATTTGTAGCACATATAACAATTCATGATATAGTAAATGTGCCAATAGTGTAGATACTGTTTTCTTACGATCTCAAGATGGAATAGATGATCTTTGGGTTTTAAATATGGCAGAGAGCAGCGCATATTTCTCACTAAACAACGTATGTGTTCAATATCTGGAACTCTATAACCAAAGCGCGCTAACAAAAAATGTTGCAATAACTCTTATAACTAAATTGTTACTTTAATTATTAAAAATTTAATAATACATTTTTATTATTACATTAAACATTGATAAAGTATGATATTTAGTTTAAAAAATTATGGGTAATACATGTATATCATCATCAAATGAGACATTGTTCATTCCAGCGATGTTAAACATTCTGGTCGCATTCTTAGATTTTGCCAAACTTTTTATTTTTTGCTCACTTCGCTTACGAATAACATTTGAAACACGTTTAACAACACAACTCTGAAAAACATTATGTAAAACTAAAATCATATTTTTTATAACATACGAATGTGAAATCTATGAAGAATTTTAATTCAAGATTTTTCAAATCTAGATCTACATCTTGACTTAAAACTAGATGTTGGATTTAAACTCACCCTATTTAGCATAACAACAGTAAGTAACTTATGTTCTGCTTAATTAAACATTAAATTGACGTGCCTTTGCCATAATTAGATAAGCCATAATTATCAAGGAAGTTTGAAATTGTATTCTAACGAAGATGCTCACAAACTGATTTATTAATGTTTTTAAAGCAGTCTCAGCATACACTCTTTATTTTATTGTGCTTTGCTTCAAAGTTAATACAGAACTGATTTTTTAAGGGACCAAACCGATGCATTTGTCCAACAAAATGCAACAAAAAGTGATCCTTTAGTATCAGATTATTTCGCCAAAACAAAACAAAATATTTGTAGTCTTTTAGTAAGAAATTATGGTGACATTATGAGTTGAAGAATTTACAAAAGATCAATAAAGTAAATGTAATGAAGATCATTGCAATTACTGTATTGTCCAATAAAAAGTGAAATAATAGGAGCAAGAACCAAAATTGGAGCAAATGTTTGTGACCCTGAAATATCAAATGTGTTTGGAAAAATATTAGGCTTGTCTCTGGCTTCAGAGTATGAATAAGGAAATGGAACAATAAAACTATTGAGAGCAGCTTGTGATTAAATGTGTTTTTCAGCAACACGTAACCCAGTGGGCACAGGACGTAAAAAAAAGACGTCCTTAGGACGTTCAAATCGCGTCCGTCCGTCCCATTAAAATTCTAAACTTCTTTTGAACGTCTTATTCGCGTCCAATAATTTTTTCGTCCAAAAAATATTCAGAATGCTTTATTAAATAAAAAAAAATCAGTTAAATCACGCAAGCGCTAAAACTTCATAATATTTTAAGTAACGCATTTTTAATAAAGTTTCTTTTCAATTACAAAAGAAGTTATTTTACAACAACTAATAGACACGTTCCATATAATTTTTGTTTTTGTTATCAATTGAAAATTGTGGTAATTTTGATACAGGTAATGAAATTTTTGCAGATAATGAAAGAAACGGTTTAAAACTGAATATATGCTATACTATGTATATATATACTTGATATACTATTAGTATAGTATTACTATATCAAGAACCAAGTTCTAACAATAAGATTTAGACATCTCATGCAGAATCGAATTTTTCAATAGGAAAACCTGTTAATGATCATGAAACAATTATCCTGATAATTCTTTGAATTCAATGTCTTTACTCGACAACATTATGCTATTTTATAATGGAACCAGTACATTAGTTAATGATCTTCTTGAAATATTGCCAAATCAAGGTTTGGAACTTCCCAAATATTCAAGGAAAATTTTAATAGCACCTTATAAAAAGCGACTTATAGACACAGGTTCTTGCTAATTTATATATATTTTTTTAAACATTTAATTACTTGAGAATCGTATTAATATTAATACATATATTGAAATTGATACAGATATTGAAATATATAGTTAAAAACTGGGCTTATACTATATATATATATATATATATATATATATATATATATATATATATATATATATATATATATATATATATATATATATATATATATATATATATATATATATATATATATATATATATATATATATATATATATATATATATATATATATATATATATATATATATATATATATATATATATATATGTATATATATATATATATATATATATATATATATATATATATATATATATATATATATATATATATATATATATATATATATATATATATATATATATTGATACAGATATTGAAATATATAGTTAAAAACTGGGTTTATACTATATATATATATATATATATATATATATATATATATATATATATATATATATATATATATATATATATATATATATATATATATATATATATATATATATATATATATATATATATATATATATATATATATATATATATATATATATATATATATATATATATATTAAGTATATACTTGACAATTAATATAGTATTTCAAGTATAATAATTGATATACTACTGTGATCAAAAAGTAAGGTGAATTTTTTTATAAAATGAAAAATCTTTATTTATTCTTCCAAATCTGTTTCGTCCCTCTCAAAATAATCCCCCCCGGCCCCAATGCACTTTTGCCAACGTTTTTTCCAGTCTTCGAAGCATGCCAAAAAGTCCTCGGTAGGGATAGCCTTCAATGTGCGTGCCGATTCACGTTGGATCTCTTCAATGGACTCAAAACGATTTCCCCGGAGTGGTCTCTTGAGCTTTGGGAACAGCCAGAAGTCACACGGTGCTAAGTCGGGCGAATACGGTGGTTGTGGAGCAACATGGGTAGAGTTTTTGGCGAAAAACTCACGAAGAACCAGTGCTGTGTGCGAAGGCGCATTATCGTGGTGCAAAATCCAAGAGTTATTGGCCCATAATTCCGGTCTCTTTTTGCGAATAGCTTCACGCAAACGT